GGGCTAACTTGAGAACCCCAAAGTGGCTTTCGTGTCCGCCTTGGCCTGCCCCCCACGGCTTCAATTTCCCTAACATTTTTCTCTACCCGGTATGTTTCCCCAAACTTTCCTCCAACGATATTCCTCCCTCATTTCTCCTGGCCTCTCCCCACAGTCCGCGTCCGAGTCTGTTTGTTCTAGCGTTCACTTTCGCTTTCGACCTTAGAGATTTCTCCCAGCTTCCCCCCGTAGTCCGTATCTGAGTCTATGCCTAGGCTTTCAATAGCTTCTTCCGGCACCCTTTTCGTCCGGCTTTTCCCTAGGCTGTTTGCTCGTCTCTCTCTCCGGTATTTTCCCAGTTCTTCCCGTTTCTTCCCTCTTAGGTTTGCTATCCGACCTAGGTTTCCTAATCCGAGTCATTTCTTCCCTCCTAAGTTTCCTATCCGCCCTAGGTTTCCTATCCGAGTCACGGCACCATTATGTCGCTCCCCCTCTTCGTGGAGGAACGACACTAAGCCCTGCCTGGGCTTCATATCCGAGTCACGGCACCATTATGTCGCTCCCCCTCTTCGTGGAGGAACGACACTAAACCCTGCCTAGGCTTCATATCCGAGTCACGGCACCATTATGTCGCTCCCCCTCTTCGTGGAGGAGCGACACTAAACCCTGCGCTGTTCTTTCGTCTGCTCAGCCCTCCCTGGGTTTGCTGCTGGTTCTTCCCGGGTTGGCTACTACTGTCCCTTCCACCTCCGTGGAAGGGCAGTTCCCCCTGGCCGCATTCCCCACTTCCGCAGGGGAGCGGCACACCGCCGGCCGGGTCTCTCGGGGGCTGCACGGGTGTTCCTTCAGCTAGATGTTCCCCTTAGATGTTCCTGGTGAATGCCGTCTCTCTCCTCCTTTATAGTCCTCCTCCGCCAATCCTAACTCGGCTGCCCACACGCCGAGTACGCTGCTCTCCAATCAGGAGCAAGTCCTACAGTTTATTGGTTGAACTGGAGGCAGCTGTGCGGAAGCTGTTTACTTCTCTCCCAGCGCCATATTGTGGGAGAGCAGATGCATAGAATAAGTCTTAATTCCAGTAACTCAGTCCAGTCCGGATTGCTCCCCACACTACTGACTGACAGCGTCTAGTTCTCAGAGTTGTCACGTGTGGTCCAGGCCTGCGGTTGATCTCATTTCATGGAAATGAGGGCACAGAGAGCCAAAGCGGCACTGCCGAAGTCACACAGCCTAGAAGCTGAAGTGACCGAGCCGCCTGACGTGGGAGCCTGGGTTATCCGCATACCATCAGTGGCACTTGGTGATGTAGTGTGTCTACCATTCCTGGGATGTTCTGTGACCTCCTTCCGAAGGCCAGGATCATGGCTGGCTCCTGCCACCGTACACGTGCACAATCACGCAGGCGCGTCTGCCTGCGCACTGTGCTCCGTGACTGCTGTGCTGTTGCTTGAGTGCCGGCCGGGAGCACACACAGATGTTCCATGTCCACATGTGTCATTTCCCCCTTTTTCTGTGTAACTTCCTGTCCCATAATCCCCCCTGCACCCCAGGACGGAAGAGTCCCCTGATGCCTGCCAAGCTGCACACGCTGTGGACCCTTGACCAGCTTAATTTTAAAAATTAATTAATTTTTTTTTGTTTTTAGTAGGTCAGGGACAAACTATAAAAATGAAGAACTGGATAAAAATAACATAGCTTTTTATTACTACAGGAGACAACTTGAGTCTAATAATTAATATTGATGCGGGCTGGGGCAAGTGGAAGGCCATTCTTTCAGCAGCGAAATGTTTGAGATGGGGACCAAATGATTGTTTTTTCCCCCGAAGTTTACCATAAAGGAAAAATCTGACTGCCTTTGTCCTTGCAAACATGCACGTGACTGATCAATCCAAAAAGAATTAAGCTGCCCTTGGTTATGTCAGGAGTCCCAGGAAACCTGATGTCGGTTGTGTGGCTTCGAGGGGGCACAAAACAAGACCAAGGTGGCCGGGCAGTGACTGATTGGAAAAAGAGGGCATCCGAGCTTTTAAACATTTAACAAGGCTGTGATCTGACACTCCCACCCCTGTTTGCCTGGACTGAGCAGGGCATGTTCATCTAAGATCATCTCCATTCCAATGAGGGTTTTTTTTTTTTTTTTTCTTTCCCAGATAAAATTAGATTTCAGGAAACATTCCAGTCCTTCCCTGGAGCCCGCAGTGAGCTGGCCTCACCGCGTCCCCTCCCCGGCCTGGACCAGAACCCTGAGCAGATGCGGTGGATTAGTCGAGGACCCCATCTGCTGACGGCCACCACCACGTCTGCCTTTGCTGACTGTTATCGGAGCAGACGGGACGTGCTGGCAGCAGCCGTGGCTGGGGCCGCGTGGGCAGCCTCTGGGGCCTTTGGCTGGGCTCGGGCTCTTGTGAGCCTTAGCGCTGGGGGAGGCTGTGTGCGGCCTAATGCACAGATTTCCACTTGGAGCATGCCGATGAATGTACAAAGGAGAAGTCCCCTGACCCTTCCGGAATGTGCACATTCTTGATTTTTTTCGACTATTTCTGCAGTTGGCCCAAAGGGCTGCTGAAGGGGTTTCAAACGGCTCCTGTGTTCATGGCTTGTTTGTCTGGCAGCAGTGTCAGACTCCACGGTTTTCTCCCTGTGGTGGGTAGTGGAGGCAGAATGAACACAGACCACAGTAGGTTCTGATGGAAAACTCTACAGGAAATGCTATTGATGCGACAAATTATCATTAAATCACTGTGTCATCATTTGGTTAATGGCTGTGTTTCTTCTACACCGTCAGTCCCACAAAGCTAAAGAGGAATTTTTTTTTAAAAGATTTATTTATTCACTTGAAAAACAGGGTTACAGGGGGGCAGGGAGAGATAGAGAAAAAGAGAGTGAGAACTTGCATCCTCCAGTTCACTCCCCACATGGCTGCGATAGCCAGGGCTGGGCGAGGCTGAAGCCAGGACCCAGGAAGTCCATCTACCCGGGGTTTTCCATGTGGGTGCAGGGGCCCAAGCACCTGGACCATCTTCCACTGCCCTCCCAAGTGCATTAGCAGGGAGCTGGATTGGAAGTGGAGCAGTGGGGACTCGAACCAGCGCTCAGATGGGATGCAGTGCTGCAGGCAGCAGCTTAACCTACTGCACCACGATGCTGGCGTTTTCGCCATTGTATTCCTAGCACCTGGGGCAGGGCCCACACTACAGGTGGTACCTGACAAAAGTGGTGGCAACAATTTAATAATAACTGGATTTAGTAATTTTTTTGACAAATCATTTTCCTTACACATTCATTTTAAAAAAAACTTTCAGCATCCGAACTGGACCTAACAAGGAATGCTGGTCTCAGTGGACAGCTAAGATACTTAATGTTTCCATGTGCTCAGGCAATGTTCACATAAGCAGATTAGATGACCGATGTCTTGGTGGTATTTGAGTGACACCGAAAAGCTATTTTTTTTTTTTTGACAGGCAGAGTGGACAGTGAGAGAGAGAGAGAGAGAGAGACAGAGAGAAAGGTCTTCCTTGCCTTGGTTCACCCCCCAAATGGCCGCTACGGCTGGCACGCTGTACTGATCTGAAGCCAGGAGCCAGGTGCTTCTTTCTGGTCTCCCATGCGGGTGCAGGGCCCAAGGACTTGGGCCATCCTCCACTGCCTTCCTGGGCCACAGCAGAGAGCTGGACTGGAAGAGGAGAAACCGGGACAGAATCCAGCGCCCCAACCGGGACTAGAACCTAGGGTACCGGTGCCACAGATGGAGGATTAGCCTAGTGAGCCGCGGCGCCGGCCTGCAGCTCCCACTCCTAAGACATCTAAAACACCAGGAGTTGACGTCGAGACATATTTCACGTTGGTCATATCTGTGAGTTCAACACCCAGGTATCACATTATTGAGTTCAAAGTATGCTATCCTTGGATGCTCTTATCTCTAAGATAACAAACTGATGTGAACAAGACCAGCGTGCCACCTGTGTGGGTGGGGACTTGAACCTGCATCACATTGTCCCTTTGTCACACAAGAGTGGCCCATGGCCTTGGAAGTGCCTGAGCGCTCTGTGTCTTAATTCTTGTTGTTTTCTGCAGGTAGAACTCCTTGGATTCTCTCCACAACCGTGGTTGGCTTAGACAGATGACCCCCTGGGGGAAAAGTCCTTTGACTCAATGAGCGACCTGCAAATATAAAACAGTTGCCAGAGAATTCTATTAGAGATGAGCCATCTCCCCCATTACAAGGTTTGCTTTTCTTTAATGCAATTTAGCTCAAGCAGAAAGGCCAGTTGGGAGGGGCTGCGTTCTGTGCCTTACTGGAAGCCAGACCGGCGGCGAGTGAGGCAGGCGATCCACAGAGATTTGGGGCAGGAAGGAGGGGAGGCGGCTGCCCCACAGGCCTGTGCCCACGGGGAATTGAGTTCAGACCTCCTCCTGTAGCCATAAATCCAGGGCAGCTGGCAGCGATCCAAGAGAGGCTGGCGCTAAACTCCAAGGGCATCCGACGCCACGCCGGCCACCCCCTCCCGCCCTCCCGCCTTCCCTGGGCTGGACCTCAGGTGTGCCCCACTGGGCCTGGGTTTGCAGCCTTTTAAGCAACTGGAGCGCGCACCCGCGGCCGGGCAGGAGCGGAGAGGCTCTACCGCCCCGGAGGAAGCCGAAAGCCTGCAATTATTCTGATGTTGTCTTGGGGTGGGGGGGCCGAAGCGGGGAGGGTCTGACTTTTGGGTGCCTCCAGCTGTTCCCCTGCCCCATCCAAACCAAGCGCACGTGCGACCTGCACCCCCCCGCCCCCCCGGCCACTTGGGTGTGTAGCAGCAGAACGGATCCGTCCCCGTGTTCCAGACCCCACGTGCATCCCGGGGCCCGCACAAGGCGGAGAGGTCTGCCGCCAGCCGCGCGCACGAGGGGGCCTGCACCCCGAGGGTCGCGCCGTCTCGGCCGCCCCAGCTAAGCAGACAGCGCCCGGACCGGCAAGCTCCGAAGGGCGGGGCCGCGACTGGAGGGGCGGGGCCACGGTCACGTGACGGCGCGCCGAGCGGCGAGGCCCCGCCCGGCGGGGAGGAGGCCCGGCCGCGACCCGGGCCGCGCGCTGAGGAGCCGCCCGGCCGTCCGCGCGCTCCCTCCCGCAGGGACCCCAGCTAGCGGCCCCTTGACCGTCGGCCCCGGGCTTGCCGGCTGCGGGAGCGGCTTCACGATGGACGAGGACGGCGGTGGCGAGGGCGGCGGCGGTAAGTGTCGGAGGTGTGGCCGGCCCGCTGGCGGCCTGAGGCCGGGGGTTTGTGGTGGGGGTGGGTTGGCGCGAGCGGACGACCGGGCCGGGGGTCCCGAGCCGGGGGTCCGCCTGCGGAGACGGCGTCCTGGGCTACGCCGGTGCCGGCTGGCGAGCGCGGGAGGCCCGAGGCTGCGGCGCCGGGGACTCCTGGGACGAGGCGGGCCGGGGTCACCACCCAGCACCGAGCAGGGGTCCGGGTGGGGAGCCGGGGCGGCCGCGGGTCGGAGCGCGGGGGTCGCTGTTGTGGGGCGCGGGACCCTGCGGGGCGACCTTTCCCGGCTTGTGGCGGCCAAGGGCGTCCACGCCCTCCGGAGCCCCCCAGCTGTGTGCGACCACCCCCCTGGAAGCCCCGTGTCTCGGGGGGTCGGGAGCTGTAGGCAGTGGGGAGGGGGAAAGTTTTGAATCGGGGCTCTGCGGGAGGGGCACAAGAGGAGGACAGGCTGAGGATCGTGCCCCTTCTCTCGGCTTTAGGTCCGAAGTGGTCTCTGGAATTGCGTTCAGCGAGGGGCCGGGGCAGCTGGGGTCCCGGTCTGCACACGCGTTTTATAAAATAGCAAATGTTACAGAGTAGGCAAAAGAAAGAGCGAACCGAGGCAGCGCAGCAGCCGAGGGTGCGAGTCGGGAGCCACAGCCAGGAGCCGAGGCGGGGGGACCCCCTTTTCCCCCCCAAAGTGCGTCGCGCCCTGCACAGCCTAGCCCCGGGTGGTCCCTGCTGGACCCTCAGCTTCCTCGTGGTGGTTGAACATGACCGAGTGGAGTCAGATTGCTGTGTGTCATTCTGCATAGCAGGTTTTACAGACAGAAAAATGTGCCTCCCTCTTCGGATGGAATGAGTGGGTCATTGCCTTGGCCAGTAAAGGGTTAACGCCCATCTGCCCTCCCCCCCCCTTTTTTTTAACAGGGGCACCCAAAGTGGAGGCTCTCTCTACTTTGGCTAACGATCTCTCTCTCTCTTTTTTTTTTTTTGCTGACAGCCGGAGTCATCAGACCCCCATGTAATAAGGGAGCGTTCAGGGAGAAAAAAAAAATCTTAATTACAGGCTGCGGGAGCAGCTGCCTGTAAGAATCAGCAGTATTGAATGCTTCAGGATGAAGTGGTTAATCAAGGTGCCTTCTAGAATTCAAGTGGGGCTCAGAGGGAGATGTTGTCGCGTGGAGGAAGAAGCCGACGCGGCTGGGATGGTGGGAAGTTGGCGCCCGGCGTGGTTCTTGCTGTGGCCCGAGTGGGTGTGCTGTTTATGGAAGAGGGTGCTGTGGCAAGCAGGAGCCCAGTTGCAAACCCTCCTACAGCCAGGCTGCCCCGTCTGGCAGCGTCAGATCCTAAGTAATGGGTTCCCCGTGGGTGCCGGGCGCCAGCCTATTGCGCTTTGTCGTGGTAGGTTTCCCTTTGTCAGAGAAGAGTGACAAACGACCTGCAGTGTTTAGACGTTTGTAGCTGGCTGGCTTGGCGATTTTATTTGGGAGGTGCTTCTGTGCACTCTGAATGAGGAAATGCAGAAAGATGTGAAGGTAAAAGCAGGTGTAAGGGGGTAGGGGGAGGAAGCCTCTGTGTTCCAGCAATTTATAGAACTCGAGGACTGGGACCGTGACAGCAAGGGATGGTATTAATTATCAGAAGTCTTCAAATTGGGCCATTTGCGTTTCTTCTGGGAATATATCACAAACAACCTTGAAATAAAAAAAAAAAAAATCTTGTGAACGAAGCTGTGTGCCTTCAGCTGTTTGTAAGTTATTGAAAACAGCACTGTCCACCAGTAGGGGATTGGCGAGGTAAATTATGGCAAGTTTATTAGATGAAACATTTTATAACCACTAAAAATAAGCAGTTGTTTTACACATCATACTCTAAACAAAATAAAAGCTGGTGACATTATGGATGTTTTATTTTCTTAGTTTTTATATTTTCCAGGTGTCTGGGATGAGCGTATATTACTTTCAGATTGGCAAAAAGCAGCTTATAGGCAGGCGAATGTTTTGAAGTACAGCATCTAATTCATTCAACAATGAACAGTTATTTATTGATTGCTAAGATGCCAAGCGGCTTGGTGGGTGGTGGAAAGCAACTTTCAGCCTTTATTAATTTGATTTATTAAAATCATCCTTCCTTCCGTTGTGGAAGACATTTAAAAATATGTTTGGCAATCTTAGGATTAAGTATTTCTTTCAAGTGAGAATCTTTGAGAATTTGAACTGAGTCTTTATGTGGTGGTTATTGAATAAGCTGGATGTGCTCACATTTTTTTTTTTTTTTAAGATTTATTTATTTGGAAGGGAGAGCTACAGAGAGGTAGAGAGAGCGAGCGGGCAAGTGCGAGAGAGGTCTTCCATCCGCCGGTTCACTCCCCAGATGACCGCAACGGCAGGAGCTGAGCTGAACCGAAGCCAGAGCCGTGAGCTTCTGGGTCTCCCACGTGGGTGCAGGGTCCCAAGCATTTGGGCCTTCTTCCACTGCCTTCCCAGGCCTCAGCAGAGAGCTGGATAGGAAGTGGAGCAGCCGGGACTGGAACCAGTGTCCATATGGGATGCCGGCACTGCAGGCAGTGGCTTTACCTGCTATGCCACAGCGCCAGCCCCAGTGTTCACATTTAACTCTTGATTGTTGAAGATCTTGAAGTTAACATAACACTTCACTTTTTTTATAGTTATTAATATTTATATTTTTCGAAACATGCTATGTGTTAAAATTTATGGTTTTAGAGATGAAGTTCAGCCTCTGAAAGAGAACGGTTTAGTTGCCATCTGATTATAAAGCATAACGTTTTTGGGTATATGGGGGGGGGGTCAGTTTCAGGCTTGTTGAAGAGAGGGATGATCCAGTCACACGGTGGTTATGGCAGAGACATAAGACGATTTACAGGTTTGTTTGTTTTCTTTGGTTAACATATTGGTCAAGTAAGAAGACTATAAAAATTGATTCCTGCTTGCTATGATTGAACCTGCTGTCCAGGGTGGTAATATTTGTTCTTTCGGCGCAAGATAAGGAGGGAGGCTAGTGGCGTGAATGCCTGGAAGGCAGTTACAGGGAGCGAGTGGGGGTACAAGATTACAAGAACTCATTGTTCTCCGTAATGTGTGCAGAGCGTAGTTAAGGTATTTTTAATTCCTTTGAGGCTTTGCTGCCGTTCAGTTTTTCTAGAACGGTTCTTGAGCTGTGTCCCTGCTTGGAAGGTGGCCGGCCCGTGTGGCTCCCTGCCCCCATCTGTTTGACTGATGTTCCTGAGTGGACTGTCCCTGGCAGATGAGGTGAATTAACTTTAATTGGTTTTTCCCTTCCTCACCCCCCCCCCACCCGTTTAGATGAGAGTTAAGCCTGTGCTCACTTGAAATGCCACCCAGCCTCACTCACAAGAAAATAAATAAAAATTAAGCTAGCTTGCAGTCCCCCCTTTCCCCTGTTGGACAGGTGCTAGCCTCACGCCTGAACACAGGAGTGTCGGTGAGGCTCTCTCAGCGCCTGCTGGCAGATGATCCTAGCACCCCAGCAGGGGGAGGCGTAGTGCACCCTGTGTGCTGTTGGCTCCCGTCCACATCCCGCCCTGCCCCTGCTGAGGGACTCACCCCTACAGGCAGCATTTCCCAGGCCCTCTGTCAGCTGCCCTTGGGCTGGGTTTGGTCAGTGGAAGCCGCTGATGGAACGGTAAGAGGAAGGCAGACACCAGGCTAACCGTCATTCTGGCCCACAGGGTCCCTGACGGCTGCCTTGTCCTTTGGGCTCCATCTCCCGCCGTCAGGTCCTGGTTTCCCCAGCTGCTGCCCCTTGGGCCCAGCCCCTCCTCGCTTTTACCTTCCAGTCTAGTGGTGGGAGCAGCTTCTTGTTCTTGGTTATCTCTGGGTTGTCTGACCATTTCCTGTTTGACTTCTCAGTTTTTCCATCACATGTGTACCCAATTCCTTATATTCCCTGTCTTGCAGATCCTTGAAAGGATGCCTGTGTAGACCCTGATAGATCCAGGAGCTTTGGGCAGTCCCTTTTAAAATCACAAGTGTAGGGGCAGGCGTTTGGCATAGAGGCTAAGACACCACTTGGAGGCCTGCATCCCGTGTATTAGGACGCCTGGATGTGAGTCCTCACTGCTCCACTTCCAGCTTCCTGCTAGTGCACTCCCTGGAAGGCAGCAGGGATGGCTGAAGTAGTTGGGGTGCTCTGCCACCCACATGGGAGACTTGGCTTTTATTCCTGGCTTCAGCCTTTCCAGTCTTGGCTGTTACAGGAATTTGGGGGGTAAGTCAGTGGATTGGAGCTTGCGGGACCTTCTTTCAAAAAGAAGAAAAAATTGGAGTGGGCGTAGTGGCGTAGCAGGTAAAGTTACTGCCTGCAACCCCAGCATATCCCATATGGGTGCCAGCTGCTCCCCTCTGATTCAGTTCCCTGCTGACGTGCCTGGGAAGGCAGCAGGAGATGGCCCAGGTCTTGAGGCCCCTGCAGCCTTGTGGGAGACCCAGAGGAACCTCCTGGCTTCAGCCTTGCGCATCCTGGCCATTGCAGTCGTTTGAGGAAAGAACCAATGTATGGAAGAGTGTGCTCTCTCTCCTCTCTCTCCCTTTCCTCCCTCCCCTCCCTCCCTCTCCCTCCCTCTCCCTCCCCCCCCTCCCTCCCTTCCTCCCTTCTTTCTCTAACCCTGCCTTTCAAATAAAATAAGTCTTTTAAAACAATTGCTACTGTATCAATTCTTTGACCTAACAATACCAGTTCCAGGAATCTGACCTGCAGATACATTCGCATGTGTGTGAGATGACCTAGATCCAGGATTATTGGTTGCCTTGTTTGAGCTTCCATCAGCAGGAGACAGGTCAGATATAATGTAATACACCAGATGGTGAATGAGGTTGTAGAAAGGTACAAGAGAGCTGTTTATGACTTGATACAGAAAGATCTCCAAAATACCTTGTCAAGTTACAGAAGTCACGTGTGGAAAATGTACATTGTATGCATTGTGTGCTACTTTTTTTTTTTTT